GCTGCCGCCGCACCTGCAGCTCGTGTGGCTGTGGCTGTGGGAAGGGCTGTTGCCAGCAGAAGTGCTGCTGCCAGAAGCAATGCTGCTGCTAGGCGGGGCACGTGCCTCTGGGCAGGGGCTGCAGCTATCTGTCCTGTAGGTAAGACTCCCATCCTTCCCATCCTGTCTGATCTCTCCCTCCTCTATGGTCTTGAACTCTGTTGCTGTGTTTGTTTGATGTTTCATGTCTTTCCATCTGAAAAGCTACCAAACTAATAGGAACTATCTCATGGAAAAATATGAGAGCGGTGCAGCACCTGTGTAACTGTCCAAGTAACTGACCTTAGGAAAATGAAATCACAACTCCTCGTGTTTGGTCTGATGGACATACTCACGCCTATGCAGCTCCGTCTTAGTTCCACTCTTCCCATGAGCATGCGATGCTTCTTTGTTTTTTGCTTTTGTGTTCTTAGTTATCATGTAACCTTGTCCAAATTTCCTAATAAAATAAACTAAGTGCCCATAAAAAGTTCTCTTTTTTGTCTTTCTTCCATTTAATCACACTGAATTCTGGTTTGTCTGTTCAGAAACTGGAGAGATATTTTATCTTTTTTATCTTTGAACAAAGCCTTTGAAACACTTGCGCCCTGGCTCACGCCTGTAATCCCATCACTTTGGGAGGCTAAGGCAGGAGAGTCCAGGAGTTCAAGACCAACTTGGGCAACATGGTGAGACCCCCGTCTCTACAAAAAATACAAAAAGTTAGCCAGGTGTGCTGGTGCGTGCCTGTAGTCTCAGCTACTCGGGAGGCTGGGGCAGGAAGATCACTTGAGCCTAGGAGGTTGAGGCTGCAGTGAGCCGAGATCACGCCACTGCACTCCAGTCTGGGTGACCCAGCAAGACCCTGACACACACACACACACTAAAAAATAACCAAAAAAAAAAAAAAAAAAAAAAGAAAAAAATGAGAAACACTTGCTATGGCAGCAATGCAGCCAAGGATCATGTAAGAAGCCGCGGCCAGGTCTCTGGGGACCAGCCCTGCTCAGAGACACATCACATTGCCCTGAAGTGTGTCTCCTTCCTTGGAGATCTGGGGTCCCTGTTTTTGTTTGAGATAGAGTCTCACTCTGTTCCTCAGGCTGGAGTGCAGTGGCACTGTCTCGGCTCACTGCAACCTCTGCCTCCTGGGTTAAGTGATTCTCCTGCCTCAGCCTCCCAAGTAGCTGGGATTACAGGCATGAGCCACCATACCCAGCTGATTTTTGTATTTTTAGTAGAGACAGGGTTTTGCCACGTTGGCCAGGCTGGTCTCAAACTACTGACCTCAAGTGATCCACCCGCCTCAGCCTCCCAAAGTGCTGGGATTATAGGCATGAGCCACAGGAGTCTGCCTGGGGCCTCTGTTTTATTGATGTAAGATGACACAGTCCTTCAGCGACAGACTCACATACCAAACTCAGGCGTTCCAATCAAGAACAAATATGGAATTTAATGGTGGGGTAAGCTCAGCTGGGTTTTGATGGGTTTCTTTCATTCACATATTTCATATTCTTCTTTCTTCTTCCTCCCTTTCTCCTGAGTGTGAGGCTTTTTTCTTTTCCTTTTTTTCCATACACTGCAACATTTCGTGGAAGACATTTGAAACATTTTATTTATTGATTTATTTTTGAGACAGAGTCTTGCTCTGTCACTCAGGCTGGAGTGCAATGGTGCGATCTCGGTTCACTGCAACCTCTACCTCCCAGGGTCAAGTGATTCTTTTGCCTTAGCCTCCTGAGTAGCTGGGATTACAGGCACCTGCCCCCGTACCTGGCTAATATTTATTGAAACATTTTAGAACCAAATGCATTCAACTGTGAAAAAACTGTCCCAGTGACACCGTCTTCTCTACTATCTTTAGTAAAATTAAGAAATGAAATCAGGGCCTAATAAAAGAAAACCCATGGGAAGGGGATTTTCAAGCTTCTTTGAAGGAGGAAGTATTTTCTTCAACTGCTTTAATTTAATGAAGACTATGTTGCTCTTTCCTTTCCCTTCTTTTTTTCTTGTTGATTATTTTCTCCAGCTTCCACACTTTTTCTGACTGTTGAGATTCTATGGTTTTGTTTGCTGTAGACTTTAGGCTGAGGAGATTTGGGATCAAGATGGTTTCATGTTTTCACACATTGATGCGGCCTCTCTGTTCAAAACAGGAAAAAGAAAGCTTGTTTTTGTGCTACATACACAGGATAGATATGTGTATATAACATATAAAAATAAAATAACAACATAGCTGAACTCAAAAACAAGACATCGATCTCTGTGGACCACAGACTGAAAATGTGAAATGCGGGGCTGAAGCTGTGGGCTTGCTGGGTTCTGGGTCACAGACATGACGTGCGTAGGATACAAGAGAGGCCAGATACCCCATGAGAGTGGGGATCAGAGCCAGTCTTGCTTTTGAAGATACGTGTCAGAGTGGGGCCCCCTTCATCTTGGAATAAACCTGCTGGCTTCTGAACTGCTAACCCCTTACACCAGGTGTCCCCAAACACCAGACCACGGACCAGGACTCACAGCAGGAGGTGAGCGGTGGGCAAACGTGGGAAGCTTCATTTGTATTTACAGCCGCTCCCCGTCGCTCACATTACCACCCAAGCTCCGCCTCCTGTCAGATCAGCAGCCACAGCATTAGCTTCTCATAGGAGCACAAACCCCACTGTGAACTCCACATGTGAGGGATCTAGGTTGTATATACTTTATGAGAATCTAATGCTTGTTGATCTGTCACTGTCTCTCATCACCCTCAGATGGGACCATCTATTTGCAGGAAAACAAGCTCAGGGCTCCCACTAATTCTACAATTATGAGTTGTACAATTATTTCATGATATATTACAGTGTAATAATAATAGAAATAAAATGCATTGTAAGTGTAATGTGCTTGAATTATCCTGAAACCATCTCCCCACTTCCCATGGAAAAATTGTCTTCCACAAAACCAGTCCCTGGTGCCAAAAAGTTGGGGACCACTGCCTTAGAGAGACTGGAGGATACAGACAGTCTTTTTTATTTTTTATTTTTTGGGACAGAGTCTCGCTCTGTCACCCAGGCTGGAGTGCAGTGGTGGGATCTCAGCTCACTGTATCCTCTGCTTCCCGGGTTCAAACGATTCTCCTGTCTCAGTCTCCTGAGTAGCTGGGGTAAAATTATAGGTTCCTGCCACCACACCTGGCTAATTTTTTTTTTTTTTTCGTATTTTTAGTAGAGTTGGGGTTTCATCATGTTGGACAGGCTGGTCTCGAACTCCTGATCTCTGGTCATCCGCCTGCCTTGGCCTCCCAAAGTGCTGGAATAACAAACATGAGCCAACATGCCCAGCCCAGACACAGTCTTTAGACTACAGATTGACCTAAATCCTCTGCAGGCTTGAGAATAACCTATTATTATCCCCATTAGCACTAGGGGATGGGGCCTGGGGATGGGACAGGAAAAGACAACTGCAAAACTGCTAGACAGGTAGAGGCAGGTGGTGCTGGGTCAGGGTGTATGTGTGATTGGGATGAGGAGAGAAAGTGACAGCAGTGGAAACAAAAACACCTTGCACTGAAAATTATGACACTGACAGACTTCATCGGCCCCGCATGGCTTCCTGAGCCCGGCTTCTTGATCATGATGAATCTCAGGCTTCTGATGCCCCTCGCTGCCTACCTGTAAGTAATCAACCTGCTTCATGTCATTCGTTGTGTGTGTGGGTGTGAGCCTCCCTGGACTCAGACAAACTGGTAATCAGTGCGCAGTGAATCTGCTCCCCAAAACTGACACAGCAGGCAGGGTCCAGTCTGACAGAATCATAGCTTATTGGTGAAGCAAGGGGCAAAACCTCCCAGTACCTGGTTGAAGGTGGAGACGTCAGCCTGGGGGCACAAGAGCTGGATGGTACTGCTGGACACCTTATGGGTCAGGAGGGGTTATATGTGGGACTCCTGGATGTGAGTGAGCTGGCCATGGACTAAGGCTGCCAGAAAGGAATGTGGAAACGAGATCGTGGCGCACGGCCCCCTGACTGTTGGGCACTGATGCGATCCTTCATTCCTGGGGCTGGAGAGCTCAGGAAGACAATGCTCAGGTGGACCCTGAGGCACCTGAGAAGGATGAGGAAAGAGGTACTCAGGTCCTGAGGCATCTGAGCAGGAACCAACCATGCAATGCAGGCTGCCACAGAAGGGGAGACTCTCTAGCTAAAGGGCAGGTATGGAAATGGCTCAGAGATGCCTTATGTGGCCTGGTTGACGTGTTTGTTTGATAAAAAGACGTTGCAGACCCAATGTCTCGGGCCGAACAGTGTGGTTGTGGTTGGATGAGGCCAAGGTCTCTGGGTCTCCACGGGAGGTCGGTGGCGCTATACTCCTGTCCATGCAGAAAGGGAGAGAAGGGGAATTCAGACGTTTCTGGGGTTCTTGGCTACTGGAATCCATATGGCAATATTTCCAGGTCCCCTTAGGGGAAAAATTAACCTGGTGACGTTGGGAGGTTTGAGGACAAACATGGTGACCTGTGGTGCTTATCTGTTTCCAGGTGGCGCCCTCGGGCCATTTTGGGTGCTGGTGACCACAGTTCCTACCACTTAGTGTATTATAAGCACTAACATAGGCTGCTTGTGGCACAGACCATCACTGTGGCCTGAGGGGGTACGGCCTCCTACAGCTAAGAATCTGAGCTATAATAGTGGAACATATCCACTGCTGCTGGCTACCTAATCTCCCAAACCTGATGGGTTATTCAACAAAAGCAGTACTACAAACTAAGAGAAAAAAAGTATATTACTTGTTTAAATCTGCATCAGTCAGGGTTCAACCTGAGAGACAGAACAAATAGGAGATACAAATTAAGAAATTAATTTTAAAAAGTTGGCTTCCATGGTGTTGGAGGCTGATAAGGCAGTCCAAAATCCACAGGACAGGCCATCAGAAGGGCTAGGACTCACAGGCATAGGCTGAAGCTCCTGAACACAGACTGAATCTCCCTCTCCAGAGGAACCTCAGCACTGCTGGTAAGGCCTTTCCCCTGATTGAATCCGGTCTACCCAGATTATTGAATCAGTTCCTCTAGGATTGTATTTTTTTTTTTTTTGAGACGGAATCTTGCTCTGTTGCCCAGGCTGGAGTGCAGTGGTGCAATCTTGGCTCACTGCAAGCTCCGCTTCCCGGGTTCACGCCATTCTCCTGCCTCAGCCTCCCGAGTAGCTGGGACTACACAGGCGCCTGCCACCACGCCCAGCTAATTTTTTTTGTATTTTCAGTAGAGACAGGGTTTCACCGTGTTAGCCAGAATGGTCTCGATCTCCTGACTTCGTGATCTGCCCGCCTCGGCCTCCCAAAGTGCTGGGATTACAGGCATGAGCCACCGTGCCCAGCCAGGATTGTATTGAAAATCAACTGATTACAGACTTCAATCACATCTGTACAACGCTTCACAGCAACACCAAGGTTCGTGCTCTTACATGTCCCACTCTTTTGGTTTCCATGTTGTTCTGGGGGTGGCCTTGAATGTGTTGAAACAGCATTTTGGGTTTCAGTTGCTCACTGAGGCCATGTAGATGGTTTGTTTCAATCTGTTCAATTAAATAATTTGGTGGTACCCAGTTCACTGGCCAATGGATGTGGTCTTGAAGGGGCTCATGATGGGCCAATCTTTCAAGGCACCCAGTTTCATCAATTATCAACTCATGGCCAATCTTGCTTCATCCATGCCCCAACCATTTACCCTTCCCCCCATGGGTTAATTTGAATCCCGTATCATATAATTTAATACTGGTATTTAATTTAATGTTTAATATTTAATAAATATTTCAGTTTGTATTTTTAAAAATAAGGACCCAGAATGTAGAAATAAAGATTCAGAAAGAGTGTATTACAAGGTGGGAAGAGATGTAAATTTAAATACGATCATCATGGCAGGCCGCATTGAAAAGGAGACATTTGAACAAAGACTTAAAGGAAGTGAGTCGCAGAGCAAGCCATGTGGATATCTGGGGGAAAGAGTGTTCCAGGGAAAGGAAGCTAAAGTCCAAAGATGGTTTCTGAAATATTTAAAGACGCTCAAGGAGCCCAGGGTAGCTGAACTGAGTGAGAGGAAGAAGAGTAGAAAATGAGACCACATAGGTAAAGGGGAGGGCAGGAAGACCAGGTGGGGTTCGCAGATTACCCTCAGGCCTGTAGTTCTTTACTGTGTATGAACTGGAAAGCCATTGGAGAGTTCAGAGCAGAAAAGTGACATGATCTCCTGTATATTGTATAAAGAGAGCTCTGACTGCTATTCTGGGCTAGGTTGAGGAGGGCAAAGGATTAAAGCAGAGATGAGTTAGAAGGTCTTGCAATAAACCACGTGGATGAGATAGTGACAACTCAGACCAGAGCAGTAGCCATGGAGGTGGTGAGAAGTAACTATCTCCTAGATTTAGTTTGAAAATAAAGAAAAGAATATTTTCTGACACGTTACATTTGAGATGAGAGAGACTAGGAGGAGTCAAAAATGACTTCAAGGTTTTGGGCCTAAGCAACTTGAAAGATGGGGAAAAATGGCAGATAGCACCGTTTTGAGCAAGATGAGGATTCCACCTGGAGCAGGCTGAATTGCAGATGTCCACTAGACCTCCCAATGGAAATACTGAGTAGTAAGCAGCTGAATACAGCGGTCTGAAGTTCAGGGGGAAAAGTCAAGGTCTGAGCTATCATTTTTGGCGTCATCAGTATACAAATATAGAGATTGCATGAAACCATCAAAGACTGTATAGAGAAAAGAGTTTCTAAGCACTTAACCTTAGGAGCTCTAGGGTTAACACCTCTGAAAAAAGAGGAGACGTCGGCAAAGGAGACAGAAAGGAGCACCCAGTGAAGAAAGAGTAAAATTAAGAATGCATGGTGTCCTGGAAGTGAGTATGGAACTGTTTCAAGGGGCAGAGAGTGACAATGGTGACAATGTTACCAATGGGTGAAGCGAGATGCGTGAAGTGAGGTGAGCACTGGCGAATGACTGCTGGATCGATACTGGTGATCTGGACAGGAATGGTTTTGGCGAAGTATTGAAGACAAAAGATGGATACGAATGGGTTTAAAGAAAAAGTGTGAGGAGAGGAATTGAGAGACAGGAAATAGACAACACTTCCATAAATTTTTGCCTTAAAGGGAAGCAAAGAGATGACTTAATCTCACAAACATAATGTTAAGCAAAACAATCTATGTAAGAATGCCCAACTATATTCATATAAAATATTTTTATATATGTCTATGTGTATAAACACAGATATACATATATTTTAGAAACAGGGTCTTGCTCTGTTACCCAGGCTGCATGAACCCTATAGTGAACTGTGCGTGTGACGGATCTAGGTTGTGCACTCCTTATGACAACCAGAGCTCATTGCAGCCTTGAACTCCTAGACTCAAGTGAGCCTCCTGTCTCAGCCTCCCAACTAGCTAGGACTATAGTGGTGGTGATGAAGTGGTCTTCCCTAGGTACAGGCAGTAAGGAGGAGAATTACCTGTAGAGAATTTAAAAGCAATAGTAAAACTGATGAAGGGCCTGTCTGCATTTTATTGTTGCCATGTACCAGCAATTCTAAATAATGATGGTGATAAAGTATGCTCCCGACCAGCTGGGCTGCTACCCCTCCCGGCTTGGCATGCCACCCTGGTAGTGTCTAATTAATCACCTTTACCTTTTCCAGAACAGCACAAAAATCTTTGGTTTTGAACATTCTTCTAATTTCTAATTTCTTATTGTCCAGAATGTTAGTCTTATGTTTTTGAAAACTCTTCAAGATATAAAAAGTTAACTACTGTTTGACATGGCCAGTGTTGAGATTTACTCACGTGTTTTCTGTTTCACACTCCCTCTTGCATCATATGCCTTCCTTTTGGGGTAATTTTCCTTCTTCCTTGAGTGCATCCTTTAGCAGCTGCTTTTGGAAGGGTCTGTTACAGTCTTACTGAGTGAGTGTGTCTCACTCACTCCATTTCTGTTTGTCTGAAAATGTCTTTATTTTACTCTCATTTTTTGAAACGTTTTCCTCTTTGTATACAACCCTAAGCTGGCAATTATTTTCTCCAGCACTTTGAAGGCATTATTCCACTACCTTTCTGACTTCCATTGTGTGCCATTGAGAAGTCATTTGTCAATCTAATTATCATTTTTCTGTAGGCGATGCTCTTTTTATTCTTCTGACTGTTTATAAGATTTCTTTTTCTTTGGTATTCTGCAGTTTCACTACGGTGTGTTTAGATTTGAATTTCTTTTCATTTACTCCTTTGGAGAGCTGTTAGGCTTCCTAAATCTAATTCATGCCTTTCATCTCGTCTGCAAAATTCTCCATGGATATTTCTTTGTCTGTCTGTCATTTCTATCTTATTATCTCCCCAAGGAACTTCAAATAGACCTTTGTGGAACTTTCTCATGCTAATCTCCATATGTGTTAATAATTTTTTCACTTTCATCTCTGTGCTGTATTCTAAATAAGCTCTTCTAGTTTAATATTTTCTTCTTTATTGCTCTTAACTTCTACATAGCTCTTGTTTATTAAGCTTCTATTCTTGCCTACAGTCATGCATCCTTAATAACAGGGATATTTCTTGAGAAAGGCACTGCCAGGTGATTGTGTCATTGTGCAAACATCATATGGTAGACTTATACAAACCTAGATGGCATAGCCTGCTACATACTTAGGCTAAATGGCATAGCCTATTGTTCCTAGGCTGTAAACTTGTACAGCCTGTTACTGTGCTGAACGCTGTAGACAACTGTAACACAATGGTAAGCATTTGTGTATCTAAACGTATTTACACATAGAAAAGATACAGTAAAAATACATATAAGAGATAAAACATGGTACACCCTGTAGGGCACTTACGTGAACGGAGCTCCAGGGCTGGAAGTTGCTCTTTTAGGGTCTTGCTCTGTCACCCAGGCTGGAGTGCAGTGGCACAATCTTGGTTCACTACAACCTCCACCTCCCAGGTTCAGGCGATTCTCCTGCCTCAGTCTCCGAGTAACTGGGATTACAGGCACCTGCCACCATGGCTGGCTAGTTTTGTATTTTTAGTAGTGATGGGGTTTCACCGTGTTGGCCACGCTGGTCTTGAACTCCTGACCTCGGGTGATCTGCCCTGCCCACCTCGGCCTCCCAAAGTGTTGGGATTACAGGCGTGAGCCACCGTGCCCGGCCACTTATTATAATTATCAAGTATCATATGCTGTACGTAATTGCATGTGCTAGACTTTTATAAGACTTGCAGTGCAGTAGTTTTGTTTACATTGGCATCACCACAAACACATGAGTAATGCTTTGCTATACAACATCATGACGGCTACGATGTCACTAGGTGATAGGAATTTTTTTTTTTTTTTGAGACGGAGTCTCGCTGTGTCACCCAGGCTGGAGTGCAGTGGCCGGATCTCAGCTCACTGCAAGCTCCGCCTCCTGGGTTCACGCCATTCTCCTGCCTCAGCCTCCCATGTAGCTGGGACCACAGGCACCTGCCACCATGCCCGGATAATTTTTTTTTTTTTTTGTATTTTTAGTAGAGACGGGGTTTCACCGTGTTAGCCAGGATGGTCTCTATCTCCTCACCTCGTGATCCACCCTTCTCGGCCTCCCAAAGTGCTGGCATTACAGGCGTGAGCCACCGCACCCGGCCAGTGATAGGAATTTTTCAGTTCCACTGCGATCTTATGGGACCACTGTCATATATGCCGGGGGTTCTCAACCTCCAGTCCAAGGGCCTGTACCACGGTCCATGGCCTGTTAGGAACCAGGCCGCCAGCAGAAAGTGAGTGGCGGGTGAGCAAGAGAAGCTTCATCTGTATTTACAGCCACTCCCCATTTCTCCCATTGCTCCCATTGCTGCCTGAGCTCTGCTTCCTGTCAGATCAGCGGCGGCATGAAATTCTCAAGGGAGCGTGAACCCTGTTGTCAACTTTGCATGTGAGGGATCTAGGTTGTGCACTCCTTATGGGAATCTAATGCCTTATGATCTGTCACTGGCTCCCAGGAAAACAAACTCAGGGCTCCCACGGATTCTACATTATGGTGAGTTGTAAAATTACTTCATTATATATTACAATGCAATAATAATAGAAATAAAATGTACAAAAATATAATGCATTTGAAATCCTGAAACCATTCCCCCACCCTGGTTTGTGGAAAAATTGTTTTCCACGAAACCAGTCCCTGGTGTCAAAAAGGGTGGGGACTGCTGATATACACGGTCCATCATTAACCAAAACATACTTACGCTTCCCATGACTGTAGTTCTATTTTTCCCCAAATTCATGATTATTTTGTTCTATTCTTAGGATGTTCTATTTATGTATCTTATTCTATTCTTATGATGTTATTTTCCTCCATGTGTAAACATACTGAACATTTTATATTCAAATACTGATAATTCTTCTATGTCAAATCGTTGTTAGTCTGATTTCGCTATCTATTACTTCAGTTGGCTTGTTCCTAAAACTTTATATCCTTGTATGATTCTGAATTTTTAAAATTCATAATCTCATATTTGATGGAATTTTATTTGTGGCAATATTTTGATTCCTGTATTGAGGTACATTCTTTCAGAAACCATTTGCCTTTGTTACATATAGGTGCCTGGAGACATTGCCAATCAGGACCACTTTAAACTAAATTTTCAGCTTAAAAGAGAAAAGTTTAGCTTGTAGGAGTAGGACTCCAGAATTATGTGAGTGCTGGTTTATAAAGACAAATGCTGAGGGCATATTCTCCAGACTCCACCCAGATTAGTCTTCTTCTTAAGGGATTTTCCCCCTGTCATTTTGTATTTTGTTCTGATTCATCATTCACTGAGGATGTGGCCCTTTGGGGTTGCCACTAGAACCAAAACTTTAGGTTTTGGGGGAACCAGCAGATGCCTTGAGCACACAGCAGAGTCAATGCTTCCTTAGCTATCTGGTCTCCTGTTCTTGCTTTGGCATCTGAGGATTTTTCTTAGTTTCTTACCAGTTCAGCCATTTATTTTTTTTTTAAATTAAATGTATATCCATGAAATCCAAGGGTTTTGTGGTGTAAAGATTTTTCTGATATCCAGTCTGTTGTTGCCTAATGCAAGTAAGCCTTTCTTACTTTAATATTTTTTAAAAAGTCTGTTGCCTTTAATAAATAAGCTTTTCTTAATAAAAAAATTTAAAAACATTGACTGAAATTTGTTTAAACTTCAAACAACCCTAAAGTCCCCCTCTTAGTCCATTTTCTGTTGACTGAGAATACCTGAGACTAAAACATTTGTTAAAAAATGACGCTTATTTAGCTCACAGTTCTGGAAGCTGGGAGGTCCAAGATCAGGGGGCAGAATCTGGCTGGCTTTTGGCAAGGGCCTTGCTTTGTGCTGTGTCATAGCACAGCACATAAATCCATTAAGGAAGGAGAAGCACATGTGCAGAGACCAAACATGGGAGGCAGCCTTGCTTATAACAACTCACTTGAGTGGTGACTAATCCATTCCCAAGCGAGCAAGAGCTTCCTTTCAGGAGAAAGGCATTGATCCCTCTTGAATGACCCAGTCACCTCTTAAAGACACCACTTCTCAACACTGCCACATTAGGGACCAAGCCTCAGCACGAGATTTGGTGTCATATTCCAGCCATGGCACCCCTTTCTCCTTTAAGCTCAACCCCTCAATCCCATTCCCCCTAAGGTAATTGCATGGAGACCATCTCCATTAGGATAGAAAAGTAAGAAAACAAGGCAACGTCTAAATGATCAGGACCCAAACTCACTGAAAATCCATTTAAGGAGTTTATTTTGTTTGATAATGATAATGTGGGCCAGGTACGGTGGCTCAGGCCTGTAATCGCAGCACTTTGGGAGGCTGAGGTGGGGGTAGATCACCTGAGGTCAGGAGTTTGAGACCAGCCTGGCCAACATGGCGAAACCCCATCTCTACTAAAAATACAAAAATTATTTGGGTGTGGTTGCATGTGCCTGCAATCCCAGCTACTTGGGAGGCTGAGGTGGCAGTGAGCCGAGATTGCACTCCAGCGTAGGCGACAAAGCAAGACTGTTTCAAAAAAGAAAAGAAAAGGAAGAAAATCTGGCCTTTGACTTCAGCTGTCCTTTGAGTTAAGACACCAAAAAATAGTTTATGAAATAGTGGAACCTAAGGCTGATGGACCACACACATCCTGCATTTGAGTCCATGAATATGAAGTGAGAACACTCATCTGGGCTATCTGGACTGTCAAATACCACATATTCCACACACACTGAAAATTGTCCATTTTCATGGACATGAAATTCATCTGCATGAATCCCCACTTCATGCACTTAAAATGATGTCATCACTGTATTTGACTTTTTGGGAGGTAATCTTTCTACGCAGAGTGCCCCTCTCCTTACTAATCCCTTTGGGGTTGCAACTAAAAATGCGTTTTCATGATTCTAACTTTTATTTAATTAAAGGTAGATTAAAGTACCAGTTATGCTAGCTGGTTAATCTAATGGAGGGTGCAATCAGAGGCCATCAGCTGGTCCCAGAGTGGCTGAGTGCAACGGCTGCTGGTTGTGAGCACTGGGCAGGGTCTCTATGTATTTCCCAGTGAGGAAAATGAAGGCAGAGCAGCACAGTAGCTGTGGTTTCTGTGATATCAAGGGGGCACTTGGGGCCACTGGCCTTTCCCTTTTCTTTTTTGTGTATACTCCCCAAACTTGGTGATAAGAGTTGCTTTTCATGTCTTAAGCCTCAAGACCATCCAGGGAGGAGAAGGGTGAAGGCAAAGAAATTAGTGAATGACAGAGGGGTCTTACTTTCAACTCCCTTGATCAAGAAGAAATGGCACTTACTCATTCTGTTTCTCATTCCAAAAGTTATCTCTGCAAACTGGGAGGTGAAAGTAGGGAAGTGGGGGCTGATGAGAGGGGTGAAGAGGTCTGGTAACAGATAACCAAGAGGTGGGTGTTCTGGTGTAAAACTTGTGGGTTGTTATTACTTCGTTTACCTAATTAAAGGCTTATTTTAAAAAATTAACCTTATTCGAGATGTTGTATGGTTATTTACCCATCCCCTCCAAATCCCTCTTATATTCGAACTTGTGAATTTCATATGTTTTTGGAAATAAGATTCTGCCAGGAAATCATTTTATATCATTAGTCAACCACAATATATTCTTATGCCTTCAGTAAAGATGATTATATCTACCACTCTCTCCATAACCAGCTTGGTGATTATTACTAAATTACTCTTCAGCTTTTTCTAGTTGAGATAAAAATGCTTCTTTTAGCTTTTCTCATGGGCCTCTTCCCCTAGTCTTTCAGTCATCTTCAAAGATGTGTCTTAAAACCTCTTTTTAAGATCTTCATAAATCCATTAAGATCTTTTAAAATCCATAAATAGTTCATGTTGTGATAGCAGTTTGAGACATGCTGGGAAAATGAAGGAATCGCTTCTGGACGTCTTGCTGCATCCTACTCTTTGCTGAATCTCTGTGTCAGAGAAAAATGCTGATTCAGTTTGCACTTTCTACTTTTTATATTCCAATTTTTAAAAATGGCATTTGGCCTCCTATTAGTGGAATATCATGAGTGCAGACAGAGTCAATGATAAATGGACAATTATGATTGAGATTTGGGAGTTACTAATCAACGCAATTCCATATTACTGGCTCTTAAAAACTTAGTGAAAGCATATTTAATTAGATTCCTACCAAAAAATCAATTTTTAAGAAGCATAGTTTTCAAGACCAGCCATTCGTAATAACATCTTTTCTTCTTTGTGTATAGGAATAAGGTTTGTCTTCTGTTATGCCTTTGAGCTGTATGTTTTTGCTCATCCTGCTCTGTACCTGGGTAACTGGTCTCTTCTTTAGCAACTGAGCTTAAAGATAGCTTTCCATGGAAGAACCGAACTGAAAGTTGTTCCAGCATTGAGGATGTCAGCAGAGACTAGCAGAGGAGATATGGTGGCAATACAAATATTTTAAAGGAGTGACTTAAATATATTCCTCTTGGTCAAGAAGCTAAAAGGATTCAGAAATATTGAAGTATCAGGGGATACAAAACATAAAACTTGAATTTTTCTGCCAAAGTTTAGACTTGTTTTCAGGTTTTAATGCTTGTGTGGCCCCCTGCCTTTTGAAGAAAGAGCAAAAGGTATTGATTTGCCAACAAAGAAGACACTTAAATTTTAAATTAGGATACACAAAATAGTGGCAGAAAAGAGAATAGAAGGATTGATAGGTCCTTTTATTTCTAGTCGTATTTTAACTAATTCAGTTATAGGAATTCATTCATTTCAACTTAGGATATAATGCATTTGTCGAAAAGTAGAGGAAATATCTGGAGCTGATTAACGTAAAAGTCCTTCGAAAAGGTAAGTGCCTCCTAACCATGTTGATTAATGTAAATAGATGTTATTTTTTCAATTAGGAAAAGAGAGAGAGATGTTTGTATATTGACAACACTAAAGGCCAGGAATGGTGTGGTTTAGAGGCCAGCACTTAACCTGTGTGAGAACTCATATAGTAAGTCTTATATTCATTTATATTCTTATAGTCATTTGATTCATAAGAAAATTGAGATATTAAGAGAAGATTACATCTTTAGGGTTTACTTTAAAATAATCTAGAAGCAAGGGTGAGAAATTTCATGGGGAGTGGGGTACAGATGAAACAAGATTGGCCATAAATTGATACTTGTTAAAGTTGAGTAAGGAGAAAATGAGGTTTCATTATACTATTTTTTCAAAACGTTGTATGTATTTGAAGTTTTCCAAAATGAAAAGTTTTTAACACATCACTATAAACATCAAGATTCAAAACCAGATTTTGCTGATTTCAAGCTTGTTCTCTTGCTAACATATGATACAGAGAATAATTTCTGAAAAACTGAAGAGCAATTTGCCAACCAGATAGTAAATTAGGAATTTAAATTTTATTTTAGAAAGTAATGTTTGCACATTGAATAGCCTCAAACAAGCATATTGTATTGAACAAGTGTGTAGTACTGAATCTATATGAATCTTAGTGCTAACGTTTCTTAAATGGAAGCAATCCTTTCCTCTGTTGAACAAGTGTGACTACAAAATAGATTTTTAAAAAATGTCCTGGCATTACTTCATTTAATTTTGTATTCTGAAATGATTTCTTTTTGCCTTTTTGCTTTTAAAGAAGATAGCTTCTAAATATTTTGTAGGAATTCTTATCTATTTATAGATAGGTAAGAATGACGATTTCTCCCATGAGACAGAGTAGATTTACAGAATTTGTGCACTAAGCTCTAATAAGATTGAACTTTAGCTAGGGCAAAGAAAAACCTTTAGCGGTAGCTAATGAGAACCACTTCCATTGGAATGACCTCATGGCTTTAATTTTACACAGGTCTTTCATTCCTTCACCTGATTAGTGAAAAGGTCACCTGTTTAATGAAAATGTTTCTTAAGAAATAGAACCTTAACTACACCGTATTTCCATTTCTCAATACAAAATTATTCTATTGAAGACATTGTGCTAAAGGAAAGAAACCAGAAGCAAAAGGCTATATAAAAAATAATTCCATTGATTTGGCATTCTATAATGACAAACTGTATGGAGAGAAAACCAATGACAAACTATATGGGTAGAAAACCAATCAGTGGTTGCCAGGGACAAGGAGTGGGGACAGGGGACCGGTGGCAGAGAAACGTAAGGGCACTGTTTGGGCTGATGGAATTCTGCTTTATCTTCATTGTGGTGGTGGTCACACAGCTGTACATTTGCCCAAATTCATAGAACTGTACATAAAAAGTGTGAAGTTACTGCACATATATTATTTATCAATAAATCTGATTTTTAAAAGGATAAAGATAAATAGATATAGATATATAGTTTTGAAAATATGCCTCTTTGTCCATGAGAGCACAGTGGCCATGAACTTCCCTGAATGTCAAAGGGAAGCCCCAGCCCTTGGTTGTCAACCACAGTCATAGTCATGATGGGTTGAATCATCAAGGCAATGAAGGGTTTAATTCCAAATGCCAGGGCATAGTCTTCCATGCTCAGATTAACTCCAATCTGAAATCTGTCATTGTACAAATGGAAAGAGTTTTAAAAGGACGCACACATGCGCATTCAAATACAAAACAGCAAATGGTGTTCTTCTCAAGGCTTTGCTCTGCTGAGGAAGCCCAGGTTTCTATTGACAGTTTCTTTCTAAAAGCTCTTTTAGCAGAGATAGCCTGAAGAAATAGACAAATGGGATGGTGCAATGTATTTTAACAATTCCGTGGGATGGGATATAGTATGCTAAGAATTTAAAACTAGTTAACCAATTCTAAAATTAAACCACATTTTCAAAATACTCTGCAACTAGAAAACATTGAACGTCATTTGAGATAAATATGGCTTAGCAAGTCACTTTTGAAATTAGACGTATCAGGCCGAGCATGGTGGCTCGTGCCTTTAATCCCAGCACTTTGTGAGGCCGAGGCAGGCGGATCACTTGAAGTCAGGAGTTTGAAACCAGCCTGGCCAACATGGTGAAACCTGTCTCTACCAAAAAACACAAAAATTGGCTGGGTGTGGTGGCGCATGCCTATAGTCCCAGCTACTCAGGAGGCTAAGGCGGGAGAATCCCTTGAACCCGGGAAGCGGAGGTTGCAGTGAGCCGAGATCATGCCATTGCACTCCAGGCTGGGAGACAGAGGAAGACTCTGTTAAAAATAAAATAAAATAAAATAAACTTATCAATATGTGAAAACAGGTCAGCATGATGAATTTTTTTACTTTTTTAAAGATTTAATCACTGGATTATTGATTGTCTGAATCAGCAATTTCAGAGTCTAATTAGTCAATATTTCTCTGCAAAATCCACAAATTATTTCCTTTCATAGTTTATTCAATCTGGTAATTAATTCATTTTAAATAATTGTACTGGGATGCTAAATTTAGTCCGTCAAGATTGACATACATAGTTAAAGTTCTCCTATGCAATTTAGCTAAAACATTTGTAATGTGAATCTATTTACAAAATGAACCAAATGAAAAATGTGAACTATTTTTGTGTCCCTTCCAAAATTCTTTACATAAAAAAACAAATAGAAGCATTTTAAAACTATATGATTTAATGAAAAAGCATTATTTCCCTGCAAGATACTACTAATTAAACATAGCAAACCCCATAAATGACCCTAGGTCCCACACAGTGAACATGACAGGTGGTCCAAATGGGACTTGGAGCTTCAGGTCTTTCTTGTTCAGCTAACAATTTTTCCCTTGAACAAATGTGGAACTACATTGATGCTTTTAAAACTTAGATGAAATCAAATGGCAGATTTCCTCCTTTTAGTATGCAAATTATTTCATGTTGGAATCTTGCTTTAATCTGTTCAGATGCCTAAGCAGCTTGACAGTGATTTATTTGGTTTTGGATAAGACCTCTACATGTGATGGATTCGAAAAAAACACAGTTCTGATGGTGGGCTCCGAGTGGCTTTGAATCCTAAGATTTTTAGTGCAAACCCCCAAATTATTTCCAAGATACCTGAAATTACATGTAATCATACTATCTAAAATCTTATCTTGAAGCTCCAGCTGGGTTATTTCACGGTGGCCTCCACTTGGTTGCTGTGGAGACATTGAGCTACCATGCAGAGAACACTGCCTAGGACTAGCAAGTTCTCAGAAAATAATTGTTGTATTTATGTTCTTCCATTGGATATTTGGCACTAAGTATAGGTGAGTCTCTGGAGTATTGTCTGTAATTTAAAAAATGGAACTACCTTGAAGCTGTATTCAATCATTTATGTATTGTGTATTACGGAAGTAGGAGATTAGCATTTCCCAATTTACTCTATAACTTAAAGGAAAGTAATAGGAACATATGCTAAAGCATAAAAAAATTAGGTTGTGCCTGTATAACAATGAAATGGTTAAATTAAAAAAATTTCAGCCTGGGTTCGGTGGCTAATACCTGTAATCCCAGCACTTTGGGAGGCCGAGGCGGGCAGATTACGAGGTCAAGAGATCAAGATCATTCTGGCCAACATGGTGAAACCCCGTCTCTACTAAAAATACAAAAATTAGCTGGGCGTGGTGGCACATGCCTATAGTCCCACCTGCTAGGGAGGCTGAGGCAGGAGAATGGCTTGAACCCAGGAGGTGGAGGTTGCAGTGAGCCGAGATCATGCCACTGCACTCCAACCTAGTAACAGAGAGAGACTCCACCACACACACACACAAAATTTCAATAGCTCAAAGTTTTATTTTCATATTGTATGTATGTATTTCTTTTTTTGGAGGAAATACTAACCAAGTGCCTACATAAAGCGAGAACTAGAGGAAACAGCAGAGGCATAACAGGGAACAAGCTAGACAATGAGGGCACCCACGGAGCTTGCACCCCATCAGGGAATAAATTAGTACCAGATAACTGCTTTGATTAATTTTTAATTAAATTGATCAGTTTTTATGTAATGAAAAAAATGCAAAGTAAGTATCTTTTTATATAATAATCACAAATTAGGCCAGGCACAGTGGCTTAAGCCTGTAATCCCAGCAGTTAAGAAGGCAGAGGCGGGCGGCTCACTTGAGGTCGGGCGTTTGAGACATGGCGAAAGCAACATGGCGAAACCCCATCTCTACTAAAAATACAAAATTAGCCAGGCATGGTGGCGCATGCCTGTAATCCCACCTATTCAGGAGGCTGAGGCACAAGAATCACTTGAACCCGGGAGGTGGAGGTTGCAGTGAGCTGAAATCACACCACTGCACTCCAGCCTGGACATGGAGCCAGACTCTAAAATAAATAAATAAATAAAAATAAAGAAATCACAAATTATTTTATGTAAACTTCTATCACACAATGATTGAAATCATGCATGGTCAACAGTCTTAGACTTTCTTCTAAACCTGAATACTAACCCTTTGCATGAGATAAATTTATTCTACACTTGCTAAATTTGTAAGTTGCCTAGAAGTTGGAGCAGTAATTAGATGTAAATGAACTTACAGAGATTGAATTCACATATGTAGAAAATGATATTTTGTCAGTATGTTGAGTCAGATATGTAAATGATCATTTTATTTAGTGCCAAAGTTCACACATCTATTTGGTCAAGTTCCTTTTGTTCCTCTACTGAGTATGTCTCCAGACACTAAAATACTAGGTTTATTCGATCCTTGCCCAGTAATGACTTTTAAAAATGTATCCCAAATTAATTATGTCTGAAATGATTTTTCTCTTCACTAAACTTACTGACCATCTGAGTGAACTGACAAATTAGATAAAAGATGGCTGTGCAGGCCTTTGGTAGAAAACTCTGAACATTTTCTCTGGGAGAACCCTAACAGTTAGATAACGAGTCTCATTTTACAGCTTCTTAGAATCTCAGGATTCTCACTATTCATGTGGCTTAAACTTTCCCTGCTTTCATGCCCATAACAAAACATTCTGAGCATTTCTTAATTCATCAAAGGATTTTGTTTTTTCTAAACATCTCACATCCTGACAGTTAATTATTAATATTTTTCTCATTTCCCTATTTGTTTCTTCAGTAGAATGATGTTAAGTTGCTTCCATCAGTAGAATGAAGTTAACATGCAGTAGAAATGCAATATGGCTGTGAACCAATATGTTCTGAACTACTCAAGACTAATATACATTTATCTTTTCACAACATGGAAGTTATAGTCAGGAATAGTAAAAATGACTGAAAAATCGTTATTATTATTTTTACTAACTCTCAGGTTCTCCTTCCTAAGTATAGCCATTGACCATGAAACGAAACTGATGTGGTTTGGCTAGAATTATTTTTTCCTAATCAAGAGATTGCTAAGAGAAAACAAAATATTTAGCATGAATATTGGGGGAAGATAGAGATTTACTTCCTGTTACAGTAAGAAAAGAGCAAGGTAAGCTAAAAATCATATTTTTTCCATAAAGAAAAAATAGGCATAAACTGGTGAAAATCAAATAAAAACAGAAAATCTAAAAGCAATTTCAGGCTGGGTACAGTGGCTCACACCTGTAATCCCAACACTTGGGGAGACCGTGTAGTGTCTTGCACCTGTAGTCCCAGCTACTCAGGAGGCTGAGGCAGGAGAATCGCTTGAATCTGAGAGGCAGAGGTTGCAGTGAGCTGAGATTGTGCCACTGCACTCCAGTCTGGGAGACAGAGTGAGACTGGGTCTCAAAAAAATAAATAAATAGGCTGTGAGTGGTGGCTCACTCCTGTAATCCCAGCACTTTGGGAGGCCGAGACGGGCGAATCACGAGGTCAGGAGCTTGAGACCAGCCTAGCCAACATGGTGAAACCCCGTCTCTACTAAAAATACAAAAAATTAGCTGGGCATAGTGGCGGGTGCCTGTAATCCCACTTAACATGGGAGGCTGAGGCAGGAGAATTGCTTGAACCCGGGAGGTGGAGGTTGCAGTGAGCTGAGATCGTGCCTCTGCACTCCAGCTCCAGCGACAGAGTGAGACTCTGTATCAAAATAAAAATAAAAATTAAAATAACAAAAATTAAAATTAAAATAAAAGCAATTGCAACAAAAACAAAAATTGACAAATGGGACCTAATTAAACTAAAGAGCATCTGTACAGCAAAAGAAACTATCAATGGAGTAAACAGGCAACCTACAAAATGGGAAAATATTTGCAAACTATGCATCCAACAAAAATCTAATATCCAGAATCTATAAGGAACTTACACAAATTAATGAGCCAAAATCAAAGAACCCAATTAAAAAGTGGGCAAAAGAGGCGAGGCATGGTGGCTCACACCTGTAATTCCAGCACTTTGGGAGGCTGAGGCAGGCAGCTTGCTTGAGCTCAGGAGTTTGAGACCTGCCTGGGCAACATGATGAAACCCTATCTCTACAAAATAAAAAAGATCAGCTGGGTGTGGTGGCACGCACCTGTGGTCCCAGCTATTTGGGAGGCTGAGGGGAGAGAATCACTTGACCTCTGGGGGCAGAAGTTGCAGTGAACTGAGAAAGATACGTAATCATCTCCCCTTTTTCATTTCTGATATTGATAACTTATATTTTTTCCGTTCTATGCATGAGTACTCTCTCTCACATTTATTAGACTTTTCAAATGACTAATTTGGCTTTGGTAATTTTTCCTATTGTACTATTTTCTATTCCATTGATTTTCTTTTTTGTTATCTCTAACATTTTCTACTTTTCTTTGAGTTTCATTTGCTTCTGAAGATGAATGTTTAAGTAACTTAATTTTTATCCTTTCTCTTTTAAAAAAATAAACGCATTGGAGACTGTATGTTTCTCTCCCTGCACTGCTTAACTGCATCCTATAAGTTGTGATTTTTCATATTTTCATTGTCATTCAGTTCAAATTATTTTCTAACTCCAAGTATAATTTTTTGACCATGTTCTTTCTTTAATTATGAAACATTTGGGTATTTTTAAATTACAATTTTGCTAATGATTCTAGCTTAATTATGGTTGTCAGAATACTTTTTCCGTATGATTTCAATCTTTTGGTATTTATTGAGTACTACTTTTTGGCCCAGTTCAAGCCTGTTTTTGGTCACTTTTCTATGTTCACTTGAAAATAGTCTTTATCCTGCAGTGTGTACAGTTTCCACATATCCATCATTGCAACTTTATTCGACATGTAGTTTGAATCTTCCTAATCCTCACTGATGTTTTTTGTCTGCTTGTTATTGAGAAAGCTGTGTTCACATTTGCAACTGTGAGGGTGGACTTTTTTATTTCTCTAAATTTTTTTTGGCGTTTTGCTTAATGCATTTTGAGGCTATGATTTTTGTGCATACAAATTCAGAACAGCTTTATTGGCCGGGCACGGTGGCTCACGCCTGTAATCCCAGAACTTTGGGAGGCCGAGGTAGGTGGGATCACTTGAAGTCAGGAGTTTGAGACCAGCCTGGCCAACATGACAAAACCCCATCTCTTCTAAAAGTACAAAAATTAGTCGGGTGTGTTGGCACACACCCATAATCTCAGCTACTCGGGAGGCCAAAGCAGAGAATCGCTTCAACCCGGGAAGTGGAGGTTGCAGTGAGCTGAGATCATGCCACTGCACTCCAGCCTGGGTGACAAAACAAGACTCCATCTCAAAAAAAAAAAAAAAAGAATACATTATTTACCTAGTTGTTAATTAACACTTTTATCATTATGAAATGACTATGAAACTTATAATGAAAAGACAAATCACTCTGGTGTTGTTGCTTATTTCATCTGATACTGGGATAACTAAATTAGCTTTCCTTGTATTAGCGTTTGTACAGTATATTTTTTCCCATTTTTTAACTTTCAAACTTTGGAGCCCTTATTTTCAAGAAGTGTGTCTTGAAAGCAACATAATTAGGTTTTGAGTTTTAAAATCCATTCAGCTGACTTTTATCTTATAATTGGAGTAATTAGTTCAGGCACATTTTAATGATTTTGCTGCTATATGGGATTTTAAATTTACCATTTATTTGTCCTGCCTGATTTATGTTCCTTGATCTGTTTCTTGTCTTTTGTTGCATTAATTAAGTTTAAAAACACTTTCCTTCCCTTCATTAGCTTGTTAGTACTATCTTACTGTATTATTCTTTTAGTAGTTACCATATATATTACAGCATGAATTTTTGACCTAGCAGAATCTACCCTAAAATAGTATTTTCACCACTTCTTTGACAATATAAGGATTTTGCAGTACTTTAAATCTATTATTTCCCCTTCCTTTTGTGCTATTACCATCATAAATTTTAACTCTACATATATTTTTATTTATTTATTTTTTTTGAGATGGAGTCTTGTTCTGTCGCCCAGGGTGGGGTGCAATAGTGGGATCTCAGCTCACTGCAATCTCCACGTCCCAGGCTCGAGCGATTCCCTGCCTCAGCCTCCCTAGTAGCTGGGATTACAGGCACCTGCCACCACGCCCAGCTAATTTTTGTATTTTAGTAGAGACAGGGTTTCACCATGTTGGCCAGGCTGGTCTCCAACTCCTGACCTCAAGTGATCCGCCTGCCTTGGCCTCCCAAAGTGCTGGGATTACAGATATGAACCACTGCGCCTGGCCTCTACATACATTTTTAAAACTAGAAACGTTAGGCCAGGTGCAGTGGCTCACATCTCTAATTCCAGCACTTTGGGAGGCTGAGGCGGGTGGATCACTTGAGGCCAGGAGTTGGAGACCAGCCTGACCAACATGGTGAAACTCCTTCTCTACAAAAAATACAAAAAAATTAGCCGAGTATGGTGGTGCACACCTGTCATCCCAGCTACTTGGGTGACTGAGGCTCGAGAATTGCTTGAACCTGGGAGGCAGAGGTTGCAGTGAGCTGAGATGGTACCCCTTCACTCCAGACTGTGTGACTCTGTCTCAAAAACCAAGATTTGCTTAGATTTAGTTACGTATTTATTTTTTCCAGTATTTTTTTTTCCTATATTATTGCAATACTAATGGTGATCATTTTCATTCTGCCTAAAGAATTCCCTTTACATTTCTTTTAGTGTAAACCACAATAATTTTGCTTAATTTTTGTCTTAAAAATATCATTATTTTGACTTAATTTTTGATGAATATTTTTGCCGAGTATAAAATTCTAGCTAGCAGCTTTTTAGTTTTCACACTTTAAAAATGTTCTTGGGCAGAGGGCAAAAGTTGAAAAACTACCAATTGGGGACTAAGCTCACTAGCTGAGTGATGGGATCAATTGTATCCCAAACCTCAGCATCGTGCAATATACCCGCGTAACAAACCTGCACATGTACACCCTGAATCTAAACTAAAAGGTGCAATTATTTTTAAAAGACAAAAATAATAGGCTGGGCGTGGTGGCTCACGCCTGTAATCCCAGCACTTTGGGAGGCCAAGGCGGGCGGACCACGAGGTCAGGAGTTCGAGACCAGCCTGGCCAACGTGGTGAAACCCCATTTCTACTAAAAATACAAAAATTATCCAGGCGTGGTGGCGTGCACCTGTAGTCAGTCCTAGCTACTTAGGAGTCTGAGGCAAAGAATCACTTGAACCCGGGAGGCAGAGGTTGCAGTGAGCTGAGATTGTGCACTGCACTCTAGCCTGAACAATGGAGCGAGACTCCGTCTCAAAATAAATAAATAAATAGAAATAAAAATTAAAATGTTGTTTCATTGTTTTCTGGCTTCCAGTATTTCTGTTGAAAATTCAGATGTCATTATTACTAATACTCCTTAGAAAGAAATGCATCTCATCCTCATTTTATAGACAAATAGACTAGAAAATTTTAAGGCCACAGGGCAGTAATGCTGCCAGTAATGTTCAGCCAAGGAAAATATTTTCAGATGTTTATTTCTGATTAATTTGGTGTATAGAATGAAATACATTATTACACAGGAAATGAGAAGTAGCATTTAATTCCTTGAAGTGTTCTCCAGCCAGTAGCTACCACCTCCTTAGCTCATTTTCTTTACTTTATGATTAATCTAAATCAAATACCTCATATTTTTAAACTACTGTGTGATATAGTATGTATATGTAGTTTAATAGAACAGCTTCACTTCTGTAACAGCCCTGAGAATATTTGATAAGTTGTTTCAAAAAGAAATAGATACGCTCTGACTATTCAAGCAGGAACAATGGGAGTGAAAACTAAACTTAGTCAAAATTAGAATCGATCTTATACTATGTTGCTAAATCAGACAAAATCGAAGCCTAACAACATATTATTGCTTATGAATTGTAAGAACTTCATTTATCCTCCTGATTAGGAATCTTAGTCAAGTTGTAAGAGAAAGTTGATTCAAATGGGAATGTAGTCTCATTGTCTCTTGTAGGAAGCCTTAGGTATAACATTGCAAAATGCTATTCAGAGGAGCTGGAAGAATAAATAAACATGTTTTGTTGCTTTAAGTAGTTTAAGTAGTTAAAAGAAATAGATGGTAAATACTTACACAGCTATGGTTGTAAGGAACATAAAACTTGACTTGAATATCAAGAGACCAGCATAGCACACCCAAATATTAGTTGTGAAATGCATGAGAAATAGAGAACCTGCATCTGCTCCTGAGAAGATCACCAAGGATAACTCACCCAGAAGATCCCAGTTGACTTTGATGTAGCCACTGTGAAGGCTGCCATGGCCCCTAAAATAAAATAAAATAAAATAAAATAAAAATAAAAAAATAAGATAAACTACATCTTGTTAATCCATGTATAGTAAAATAGCATACAGTTTTGTTAAAATCCACAGTTACAGAAGCACTGAAGCATTTTCAGACTATTAAAAAAAATGCTGACTTATTGTGTACTTTGAATGAAAAATTGCTTGATCCACCTCTGTGAACTGTACATATCATTTTCTCTTAAGGGTTGAAATAGACCAGCCGAATTTAGGCTTCCATAAATCGTAGACTGGAGAGGACCCATGGAGAGGGCCATTTTTTTCTTTCCTCTTCCCTTTGCAGATGTTAAAACTCAGGCTTAGAAACCTGGTGTCAAATAAAAAAAAAAAATATGTGACTTAGATAGGAGAGGCTTTATTTAGAAGAAAGGCTATTGCAATAAAAAGAACTCTCTGATTGCAGAAATCTGCATGATTCAAGATCAAACAGAAAAAGGATTTTTTTTTTATAGGGTAAAGAGGGTACAAGCAGAGATAAGCAGAATCTCTGTAAAGGAAGCTGGATTCCCAGGGGGAACTGGTCAGTGGAGTTTGACAGGAAAGTATCCCACTGTGGTCAGCCAATTCCCGTTTGGAGCTGATAAGGGGGACACATTCCACATTTTTTTGTGTTTGCTCAGGGTTTGGAGTAAGCAACATTTAGGGGCCTGTGGGAAAGCCAGGAGCCTGTCTAAAGTCTGGTCAAGACAAACAGAGGGTAAGAAATGGGGAACTGTGAATGCCCGGTCATCGGACTGAGGTGCACAAGGTCTGCAGTCTAAAGTTTCCTAATGTGTGGTGCCGCTCTTTTCTCCCACGCCCTTTCTGTGAGCCTATTACCAATGCCTTAGGAAGGATGGCCTCTCTCTCTTTGCCCTTGTCTCTGTTTTCTCTTTCCTTTCGGTAACACCATTTTAAAAAATTTCCTCAAGATGCCTGACAGATGCCAAACTTTTCTATATATTTATATATTTCTCTCTCTATATATATATTTATATATCTATAAATATATATATTTATTTGTGGAGATGGGGTCTCGCTATATTGACCAGGCTGGTCTCAAACTCCTGGCCTCAAGCAATCTTCCCATCTGGGCCTCCCAAATATTAGGATTACAGATGTGAGCCACTGTACCTGGCCTGATCATGTCGTTCTTTATTTGTTCCTTCCTTCCTTCTTTTCTGCCTTCCTTCTTTCCTTCATTTGTTAAACCAGCAAGTACTTTTGAGCTTCTCTGTGGAACAATATAGTGGTAAACTTTGGGTCCTTGCTTTGAAAACAATACAGCCTAGTGGGGAAATCAGATAAATAAATTTAAGTGAATAAATAAAAAAAAATAGAGTGTGATAAGGATTATAGAAGAGCTCTGTTGGGAGGCCGAGGCAGGTGGATCACCCGAGGTCAGGAGTTCGAGACCAGCCTGACCAACATGGTGAAACCCCATCCATACTAAAAATACAAAAATTAGGGGAACTGAGGCAGGAGAATTGCTTGAACCCGGGAGGTGAAAGTTGCAGTGAGCTGAGATCACGCCATTGCACTCCAGCCTGGGTGACAAAGCGAGATTCCGTCCCCCCCAATCCCTCCCCCACAAAAAAAGTTCCGACCCTAATCCAAATCTTATCTAGTGGTTGTCAACTAGGGGTATTTTTGCCTTGTAGTGGACAAGTGGCAATATTTGAAGATATTTTTGGTTATCACAATGGGGTGCATCCTGGCAACTAGTGGCTTAGAGGCATACGATGTTGCTGAACATCCTACAGAGCTCAGAACAGTCCCCCTCGACAAAGAAATGCCCAGCCCAAGAGGCCAGCAGTGCAGAGGATGAAACACCAATCGGAGCCCTGACCTAACCAATCAAACGTTAGGAATTTTCAGGGAGGGAAGTGAGAAGAATGTGAGCTCAACAATGGGCCCCACTTTGTTCAATAAACAGGTGGGTGTGGAACAACTTAGCTTTAGAATAAATAGCTTCAAAGTCTCATTTGATGTGAAAACTTTGTTTTGTCAGGAAAGTACATGCAGATTGTTGGGCTAACTTCAAAGACGGCTCTGGGGCCTGCCCTTTGTCCCCTGGAGTATTAATGCCCGTGTCACCCCACCTCTCCCTCCTTGCACCACATTCTCTTTGGAAGAGTGTTTTAAACCTCGCAAAGTATATTCTGTGAGAGACGAGGAGTGCCTGGACAATTATCTAAAACTCTCCAAACTACTGTAGCTTCTGAGCCAGGAGGAAGGTTTTGCCCAAGCAGAAGGCCCAGGAGGGGCCTTGAAGGGTGAACCCAGCAGTGGGAGCTGAAAACCCTCAATTCCCCAGAGTCCTTCCCAAGATTTCTCTTTGTTGCTCAGTCTTCCTGCCTTTTGCCTGTCAGACAACACACAATATCAGAAATTCATCTTTAGATAAGGAGGAAGGAGACACCAGCCAACTCAAGGGACAGCAATGATGCTCAGGCACACACACACCCACTGGGAGGGCCAGCCTCATCCACCACCTCCTACCTTGCCTTTCTCATAGGGCACTTGTTTCCTGCTGTCATTATCACCATAATTGAGGACTACTACTTGTTAAGGGGTGCTGTGTCTGAGGTTTTTATTAAGGACAATGGAATAAAAACATAATATGCATACAAGGCCAGACAGAAAATTATACAGGATAATACAATAACTTGGTTGTGGAGAGAAGATAGAATGAGCAGTTAGAAGAATTCATTCTGGGCCGGGCGCGTGGTGGCTCACTCCTGTAATCCCAGCACTTTGAGAGGCTGAGGTGGGCGGATGACGAGGTCAGGAGATCGAGACCATCCCGGCTAACACGGTGAAACCCCGTCTCTACAAAAAAAAAAAAAAAAAAAAAAAAAAAAAAAATTAGACAGGCATGGTGGCAGGCGCCTGTAGTCCTAGCTACTCAGGAGGCTGAGGCAGGAGAATGGATTGAACGCAGGAGGTGGAGGTTGCAGTGAGCCAAGATCGCACCACTGCACTCCAGCCTGGGCGACAGAGCAAGACTCTGTCTCAAAAACAAAACAAAACAAAACAAAACAAAAAAAGAATTCATTCTGGGGTTAATTGTTGTTTGAGCAAATAAATATCTGGATATGGTAGAGAATGAGGAAGCTGGGTGTAGCGAACAGTCTGAAATCAGAGGGCAACAAGCTTTGGCAAATCCCCATATATACAGTTAAGGAAATATGCAAGTACGTTATTTGTCTTGCTGGGAACCCTGATATGTATAAGATAGCTCCAAAAGCAGAAGCTTTCAAACTCTTCGACCATAGCCTGAGGAAAATATATTTTATATATTAATTAGTGCATATATATGTGTGTGAAATGAATTTTTGCAAAACAAAATGTATCCTTACAAGCTGATAATGCTCCCTGTTCTATATTAGACTAGTCTACTCTGTTTTAAAAATGCTGGTCAGCAACCCACTATATTGAGTTCAAGATCCACAATTTCTAAAGGGCCAGATAGTGAATATTTACAGCTTATGAGCCACATATCCTTTTTTTACAACTCTTGTTGCATTTTTTTTTCTACAATCCCTTAAAAAGGTAAAACTATGAGCTGCGGTCACCGATGGCTTAGGTCAGTTTATGCATATCAGGTCTGCAGGCCATTACCTGTGTGTGCCCACCTCATGGTAATGTGGTCTGCAAACCACACTTTTTTATTATTATTATTTTTTGAGACAGTGTCTCACTTTGTCATCCAGGATGGAGTGCAGTGGAGCAATCGTGGCTCTCTGCAGCCTTGACCTTCTGGGCTCAAGTGATTCTCTTGCCTCAGTCTCCGGAGTAGCTGGGACTACAGGTGAACGCCACCACACCCGGCTAATTTTTTTGCATTTTTTTGTAGAGATGGGGTTTCATCATATTACCCAGGCTGGTCCACCTGCCTTGGCCTCCCAAAGTGTTAGGATTAAAGGCATGAGCCACCACACCTGGCCTTTCAAACCACATTTTAAAGACTAGAGTTATTGAAAGATTCCAGAAAGGAAAAAGGCTTTTTTTCTATTTTTTTTTTTTCCCCCAAGACAGAGTCTTGCTCTGTTGCCCAGGCTGGAGTGCAGTGGCGAGATCTTGGCTCACTGCAACCTACGCCTCCCAGGTTCAAGCAATTCTTGTGCCTCCTCAGTAGCTGAGATTACAGGTGCATGCCAGCATGCCTGGCTAATTTTTGCATTTTTAGTAGAGATGGGGTTTCACCATGTTGGCCAGGCTAGTCTTGAACTCCCGACCTCGTGCTCCATCCACCTTGGCTTCCCAAAGTGCTAGGATTACAGGCATGAACCACCTTGCCCAGCCTGTTTGTTTTATGAGACCGTCTCACTCTGTCACCTAGGCTGGAGAGCAGTGGCACAATCATAGCTCGCTGAAGCCTAGAACTCCTGGGCCCAAGTGACCCTCCTACCTTCAGCTTCCCCAGTTGCTAGGACTACATGCACACACCACCATGCCCAGCTAACTAAAAAAATAAAAATTTTATAGAGACAGGGTCTCACTATGTTGGCTGGGCTGGTCTCCTGGCCTCCCCACCTTAGCCTCCCAAAACTCTGGGATTACAGGCATGAGCCACCATGCCTGCCTGAAAAGAGTTTTGATAGTTTAACCTTAAACTGTCTAACTCTGCGTGGTCCAACCATATTTGACCAGCAGGACACCAGTTTGTAGCTCCTGTTTTTAGGGATGAGTGTAACTTTATCTTCCACGTATATCTTTTTCAAAGTTTTATTACATTAGTTGCCTCTTTTAAATTTGTGACAAAACTCTTCTTTTTCAAACTATTTGGTAGTTGGTGTTGAAATCACTACAGCAGGATTATTGAAGAATACAAATTTGAAAGTTGTACTATTTATTTTACGTTCAGGAAAATTAAATAAAAACAACTAATTTTTACCTAAGATACTACAGTACACAAATACTTCCCAATGCATGATATCTTTTGATCTTTAAAGCAATCCTGTACAGTTACCCAGGAGGCTGAGGCAGGAGAATCGCTTGAACCAGGGAGTTGGAGGCTGCAGTGAGCCACTGCACACTCCAGTCTGGTGACAGAGAGAGACCCCGTCCCAAAAAAAAAAAAAAAGCAATCCTGTGGAATAAACTAGTAGATATTGCTCTGGTCTTCAAAAAGAGAAGAGAAAATGGATTGCTAGAATTTTCATTGATTTGCCTACTTGGCAAATGATAGAATATAGATAAAAAATTGAGTCCAGGGGCCGGGCATGGTGGCTCACACCTGCAATCCCAGCACTTTGGGAGGCTGAGGTGGGTGGATCACGAGGTCAGGAGTTCGAGACCAGTATGGCCAACATAGTGAAACCCCGTCTCTACTAAAAATACAAAAAATTAGCCACACGTGGTAATGTGTACCTGTAATCCCAGCTACTTAGGAGGCTGAGGCAGGAGAATTGCGTGAACCCAGGAGGCAGAGGTTGTAGTGAGCTGAGATGGTGCCACTGCACTCCCTCCTGGGCGACAGAGTGAGACTCCTTCTCAAAAAAAAAAAAATATATAAATAAATAAAAATTGAGCCCAGTGTGTGTGTGTGTGTGTGTGTGTGTGTGTGTTTTAAATATACTCACTATATTCTTTATAAACAGCAAAAATGTCAGTTAAATATATGTTGTATAGTTGACGTAGCTTAGGTCTTGTAATATCAGTTCTTATTATCTTACGTTTTTCAGGGCTCTATTGCACTGAAATGCATTGATTGGAGTTACTTCCAAACAGGCCTAATTTTTTTTTTTACCGTGGAGTATCTTAAAAACATGGAGTGGCACATTTTCTGCATATTAATGAGATAAAGTCTTATATACCTAGACCCAAAGGTTTCAAGGGCTTCTACTGCTCCATTATATATTTGTAGGGTTTGACTGTATGCCCATCCAAATCTCTTCTTGAATTGTAGCTCCCATAATTCCCACGTGTTGTGGGAGGGGCCAGGTGGGAGATAACTGAATCACGGGGGCAGTTTCCCCAGTTTCCCCCATACCGTTCTCATGGTAGTAAATAACTCTCACGAGATCTGACAGTTTTATTAGGGGTTTCCCCTTTTGCTTGGCTCTCATTCTCTCTTGCCAGCAAAGCAGTGACTTTGCTTCTCCTTTGCCTTCCGCCATGATTGTGAGGCCTCCCCAGCCATGCTGAACTGTGAGTCAATTAACACTCTTTCCTTTATAAATTACCCAGTCTTGGGTATGTCTTTATCAGCAGCATGAACATCGACTAATACATGTATTGTGAAACTTTGAGATGGTGCCTTGTAATCCCATAGGATTTGAACATAGTTTAACATCTGGTGAAAACCTGCTGTGGAAAAAGCCCACCACAGGGGCCAGTAAAAAAGATGCTTTGAGGCATAGCACTCCCGCAAATCCCGGGACCACTGCACGAAATCTCTCAAAGTCACATTGCTTGGCTTTGGGGTGCCCCACTGCTGGCATCCAGGTCCCCTGAAACAGTGGATAATTCCGTGAACTGCTTTGTGATCCTTGTGAGATCCCTCTAAGATGGCATCCTCTCCCGGTGGCTTCTGAGGAGTTTCTGTTTTGGGTTTTGTATGAAAAAAACATGCTTTTCTTAGGCATTGGTTGAAAAAGTGAGAAAAGGAAGGCCACGGAGACAGAGGCCAAGGATATGACGTGGAGGTAAAAGTACAACAGGTTCGCCAGGGATACCAAGAGTTGGGCCAGCACGGACCCTGCTGTGTAGGCGGCCAGCGTGACTCTCCTGCAGTAGCCGCTCACTCTCTGGTAGTGCTCGGGGCTGACCACGCTGTATATGTAGGCGTAGTAGGCCACCTCGGTGGCGGTCACCATCCCGTAGAAGAACTCTACAACCTGCATGGTCTTCACTCCTTGGCCAAACAAGAGCAGCAGCCAGGTAATGATGAAACTAATGCCTTGCAAGATGATGACCGGCTTGTAGCGGACGTAATCGGTGAGGACAAACACAGGCAGCAGCAGCACCAGGTAGGAGTACGTCCAAACGGGGAAGATCTCATCTGTCATCTGCAAGATTAAGTGGGGAGAGCACAAAGACAAAAAAAATCAGGACGTGAAATACACCCTGGGCCTCTGACACTTACCATTATCAAGATGACATGAATCAACCCCAGGATGCACTGCTTGGCCTTTGCCAAAGCGGGTCTAGTTTCATGGTTTACATGAATTTCTGACAATACATTGGAAAGCAATGGGAAACTGAAATTCAGGGAAAAAATTGAATGACAGATATTCATAAGGTGTGAATTTCTACTTCCCGGTGTAAAAACCACAGCAGCTATTATCTTAGTTATCTACCTTTTAAACTTTATACATGTAATTTGATCTGCAATAAGCTATAGAGGCTAGGAAAAGAGGCCATAATGGATAAATTAATCTTTTTACACTTGACAGGATTTCCAGAACAAGCTAGGGCTGCTCAGACACTGTTGCTTACTAGCATGTAACAAAATAGTTTATTCTTCTTCGCAGTCAGAACCAAAAGGTCAAAAAGGATGTTTCAGTACTGGAAGAACCTGACCGCCTTCTTTCCCTTTCATACCCATCAGTACAAAAATGAGGAGCCCATTGCGATACCATCTCGGTGATCAGGAAAATACGGAACAAATGACCAGTGTGAGGCTGAATGTCAGAGAAAGAGACATATGTGAGTTTATTTTCTACTCTTCTGTTTTCTTCGCTTTACTTTTTTGGGCTGCCCTGGAGGAATCCTAAGAAACTACTTAGTAGCTCTCTCGTTCAAGTCAATTTTGGCCACAGTTTCTCTTGGAACTGGTGGCACTGGCCAATTATCTGAGCCCATCTGTAGTAAGTGATTATTTCATTTTCTATAAGGGGAATGTACAGTGGGTGGAGGATGACATAAAGGCGGTTGGGGTAGACCTTCTCAAATCCCTGTCCTCTGAATTTCTAGACAACCAAAATAAACCCATAGATTTACTGAGCCTGAGAATGCCCTTCGCTGTGACCTAATCTGTGTCCTTACGCTTTGGGTTCCCAGGTAGACTTTTACCCAAGCACTCTTGAAGTTTGGTAGAACTTTATTCTTGCTGTTTTTGGCTTTTGGGTATAGTCACCAACATGGGAAAAGCTGTATGCCAGATATGCTTTTTGTGACAATGTCTGGTGTTTGAATCCAGCCCATTCATAGCTTCCAGCTAAACCAGTTTGTACCTCATGGGATGTACTGGTGTTTATTGTGAAGAAAATGGTGGATTGGTTTAGAAGGCAAAATCTACTTGGTGTGAGGTGGGTGAACGTAGATGGTGGCTAGGAAAGAGAGGCAAAATAAGATAAAATTGTTGGGTGCAATGGCTCATGCCTGTAATCCCAGCACTTTGAAAGGCCGAGGTGGGAGGATTGCTTGAGCCTAGGAGTTCCAGACCAGTCTGGGCAACACAGTGACACCCTCTCTTTACAAAAAAAGTAAATATTAGCCTGGCACCAACAGTCTTAGCAACTTGGGAGGCTGAGGCAGGAGGATTACTTGAGCCCAGGAGTTCCAGGCTGCAGTGAGCTAGGATCGTGCCATTGCACTGCAGCCTGGGCAACGAAAGCGAAACTCCATCTCAAACACCACCACTACCACCACCACCACAAACAGACATTCAGATTCAATAAGTGTGGGGCGGGGTCTGAGTATTTACGTTTCCAACAAATTTCCAGATGATGCTGATATGCTGGTTCAGAGACAACACTTTGAGAAGCACTGGCTTAGAGGCTTCTTAGGACTTTTATTCCTGTGACTGTAGTAAAAGTTAAAAACAGCCTTAATATTTATAAATAAAGAGGGGAAAATCTTCTGAGGATTTTTCACATGGTTGTCAGTAACTTTTCTCCTGCCCCACCCGCACCACCAAATTTCATTTTATCCTTTAAGACTTATACTATTTATTTATTTATTTATTATTTATTTATCTATTTATTTATTTGAGATGGAGCCTTGTTCTGTTGCCCAGGCTGGAGTGCAATGGCGCGATCTTGGCTCACTGAAACCTCTGCCTTGTGAGTTCAAGCGATTCTCCTGCCTCAGCCTCCCGAGTAGCTGGGACTACAGGTGTCAGCCACCATGCCCAGCTAATTTTTGTATTTTTAGTAGAGGTGGGATTTCACCATGTTGCCAGGCTGGTCTTGAACTCCTGACCTCAGGCTATCTGCCCGCCTCGGCCTCCCAAATTGCTGGGATTACAGGCGTGGGCCACCGCACCCAGTCAGACTTACACTCGTTAGTGGGGATGGCTTCATTTTAGGTTAATGATAATATGCATTGAAATCCTGGAGTATTGTTTTTGCACAACTGAAAGATTAGGTAAGGCTGTTTTCCACCATAAAGAGTTTATATTTTTGACAGGGCGCAGTGGCTCATGAATATAATTCTAGCACTTTGGGAGGCCAAGGTGGGGGGATTGCTTGGGCCCAGGAGTTTGAGACCAGCCTGGGTAACATAGTGAGACCCTGTCTCTACAAAAAATAGAAAATTAGCCAGGCGTGGTGGCACACGCCTATAATTTCAGCTACTCAGGAGGCTAAGACGGACCGAAGGATTGCTTGAGTCTGAGAGATCAAGGCTGCAGTGAGCCGTGATAGTACCATGGTACTCCAGCTTGGGCAACAGAGCGAGATCCTATCTCAAAAAAAAAAAACAAAAAAGATTTTATATTTTTATATGTCAAATACATAAAAATCATTAAGGTCCATCTGTTCACATTAGAGGGTGTAAGAAGTACTAGTATTTGGCTTCTACCCAAGGCTTTAGAAATAGTTCCAGCTAGAGTTAAATCTAAGATAAGCATATTAGTTAACTTACCATGCTGAGGCTCAAATTTTTATCTGGTCCCAACAAATAAGGTACAAAAAATGGATCTGATGGTTTCATCATGGAGAAAAATCCAAATAAATGGAGAATTATGGTGGGAAAACCCCACCATAGTGGTGACACATCTCACCACTAGCCTGGGATCTCCTTGAGAGCAGGGATTCAACTTTGTCACCTTAGAGTCTAGCCCAGTGTCTGACCCATCAAAAGTATCAAGCTGGGAGCAGTGGCTCATACCTATAATCCTGGCACTTTGGGAGGTAGAGGGAGGTGGATCACTTGAGGCCAGGAGTTTGAGACCTGCCTGACCAACATGGAAAAACTCTGTCTCTACTAAAAATGCAAAAGTTAGCCAGGCATGGTGGCACATGCCTATAGTCCCAACTACTCTGGAGGCTGAGGCACAAGAATCGCCTGAGCCTGGGAGGCAGAGGTTGCAGTGAGCCATGATCTCGCCACTGCACTCCAGCCTGGACAACAGAGTGAGACTTCATCTCAAAAAAAAAAAAAAAAAAAAAGTATCCTAGAAGTGCGTGTTGAAAGTACAGTCGTCAAACCAGACTTTTCTAACTGACCATAAAAATTCAAGTAATAATAAATTTTCCAAGCATTTGCCATATTTAAAGTTGTTCTCTGGAGTGAGAACTATAAGCCACCATTTGATTCTCTAGGATATGCTGGTTACTTACTCCTAAAACAGCTCTGGAATAAGGAAAAGAGGATTTCCTGGTGGGAAGAACATGGGCATTGTAGTTGAGTAAACTTAAGTCTCTGATCCACTCTCTCAAGTCGTGTGATCCTGTCCAAGTTTCTTTGTGTCTTGGGGCCTCAGTTTTCCTTACCTGAAGAGGGAAATGGTAATGCACATCATACAGGTGTAGTTGTGAAGAAATGTCCTGGCCTAATGCTTTCGTGGTAGCAGGTGCATAACGTGGGTTACATTCCACGTTATGCCACCTCTATGTAGGAATCCACATCTAGCTTCTGTGACCATGGAAGAGAGAAGGATCATCTTTACAGAGAGTGGAGACACTGGTCATCATCCAGCTCATATAAGCCACAGGCAGGTGCTGGAGCCTGAAACCACTAAGTTTTAAGTGAGTTTAGCAATTGAGATTGTTATTTACACTGATCAGTCCCACTGGCAATTAGGGGGAATAGCCAGGGGAGACTTGTATTCATTAGAAATAATCCTCTGGAAAGTGAGATATTAAATAATTGCATACTTTAGAAAAATGCATAATTTCTTGTCACCAGATCCACTGCAGTTTTACAAGTGTATTTTGGAGAACATTAATTCCTGGGTTACTACTAATAAAATACAGAGTAGAAACGATTTCTAGGGCCAGGCACAGTGGCTCACACCTATCATCCCAGAGTTTTGGGAGGCCAAGGCAGGAGGATCACTTGAACCCAGGAGACTGAGGCTGCAGGGAGGAAAGATCATGCCACTGCACTCCAGCCTGAGCAATAGTGTGAGACCTTGTTTCAGATAAAACCCCCCAAATTAGCCAGGAAATCTCAAATCCTCTTTCTGAATCAGGCATGGACCAGACATCACTCACCATTTTCGAGGACCAGGAGAGATCATGACTTCAGGTTTTTACATTGGAAATAACTCCCGATTCCTCCCCTGATGTTAGCAGCAGAATGTTTAACTCAAGATGGTTGGATGGGTTGGTTCAATTAAATTAGGAAGTCCATTACCAGCACAGTGAAAAGACTCAAAGAATATGAGTGATCACATGGAGAAATAGCTACCACAAATCCTCTTCAGTGTGAGATTTCCACAACTCTGATTAGGATGGGCACCAACTTTGCCCCCTGCTAGTATCTTCATTTATTGTAAAAAGATGGTGAATGGTATTTTATCTGTCAGCATTCTGCTTGCACGGCCCCTCTGAACTGAATGCTTTTCCTTATGGACTACAGAAAACGAATGTCTACTGAGGAAAAACTTTGAAAACATAAAGAATACAGTATTCCTTGATTATGTGGTCTCTCTGAGGTGGAAGGGAGCAAAAAACTCAGCGGGAAAGACTCAAACACTTCTTCCTTAGGGCTATTTTTCTAACTCCAAGGCATTCTTCTACTTGTACAATTAAAGGCACAGTTATAACTATGGAAAAAAAAAAAAAAAAGACAAACAGTGAATTTACAATCCCATGTTATCCCAGTGGCATACTTTTTAATATATCAAGCAGGTGTTAATTTTTATTTAATGTTTAACCTCTGCTTCCAGGTCATTGGTTAAAATGTCACCGAAGAAATGCTCTGATTTGCTCCTAATTATGTTAGAATGCAAATTTCTAACCTTTGCAAGGAAGATGGGTGCAGAGAAAGCAGTGGACTTCTGGTCTGGGCCACTGGTCTATCCTGGTGTTGCTATAGACGGCAATCCTGGAACTTAGGGGTTCTGGCTTACTGCAGAGCTGGTGGGTGCTCTGAGCAGCGTGGTATTTCATAAACAACCCAGGTATTACTGGGATGTGATCATCAGATATTTTTTCTGTTGTACTTAATCACAGCTAGGTGACCTTACTCAGATTCCTTAACCTTTCTGAGTCCCACTGATTAAGAGAAGATAAAAATTATCCACCGTCTTGTTTGGAAGGAGTAAAGAAGATCAATAGGGGAGGAATCGAAGCAGCACCTGATATAATAAATACAGCTGTCTTTCCCTTGCTTTTCTTTGAAAATCTGGTCTAGTCCCAGTCACCCGGAAGATCACAAGGACCAACGAACTGGTGATAAAATAAAAGCCCATAATGTTAGACCCAGCTAATATAGATTGTTGATCATCTGTACAAAAATCAATGTAAAAGTTTACGAAATCAATTTCAAGGCTGTGCTGTAAGAATAAGGAGAGATTGAAAAAGTAAATTTATGGCTTAACTAAGGTTGCAAGGAGAACTATTTCTTTTAGGAATTACATTGTCTGAAAGCACTTTGTAGATACTGACTTATGTAAGAATAGTAATAAATCATTCTTATCTGCTCTTTAATCAGATTTTCAGTCCTTCATTCCATAGTTCCTTCCATAGGAAACCCTCGGTCAGCTTCATTAAATTCTGCTCAAAATAACATGCTTTCCACACACATACTTCCCCCATTTGGATGTTTTACTAATTCATTTTGATTCTTCTCTACATAGTCTAAATCAGCAAATGTTTATCATACGTACTTTTTGAAGAGTTGAAAGGAAGTGATCCCTATATTCTAGTGTCTCATGACTCATGTTTCAGCATTAAAAGTATTTTTTTATCCAGATTACTTAAATCAACATTCCACCCCAACATTTCCCATCTGAACCTTGGCCTGAACCTTGGCCTGCCCATTTTTCCTGGCAATGTTGGTTAACACCCGACCATGTAGTTTCATCATCTTTAATGGTGATGAGGTAGATTTCCTCCTAGTTCTCACATTTAATAGTCTATGTCACTGATCTTGTTATTTGGATGCCATGAGCTAGGACTAGGGACTCATTTCAATGACCTGTTTCTCTGTCACCCAAGAAATCACAAGGCTCAATGAATTGCTGATAGCAATTTTGGTACTAAAAAGTAGGGCGTGGCTATACCAAATATGTAAAAGTGTGGAAGTGCCTTTGGAATTCTGTAATGGGTAGAGGCTAGAAGTGTTTTGAAGCACTTCATAGTAAAAGCCTAGATCACATGTCCAAAATTATTGGTAGAAATACACACATTAAAGGCAATTCTGTGCCGGGTGCAGTGACTTATGCCTTAATTCCAGTACTTTGGGAGACCAAGGCGGGTGGATCACGAAGTCAGGAGTTCGAGACCAGCCTGACCAACACGGTGAAACTCCGTCTCTACTAAAAATACAAAAATTAGTTGGGCGTGGTGGTGCGTGCCTGTAATCCCAGCTACTCAGGAGGCTGAGGAGGGAGAATTGCCTGAACCTAGGAGGCAGAGGTTGCAGTGAGCAGAGATCATGCCACTGTACTCCAGTCTGGGCGACAGAGCAAGACTCCTCCTGGCAGAGTGGGGGTGGGCGGGGGAAAGACAATTCTGATGAGGGCCCAGAAGGAAGAGAGGAGAGCTACAGAGAAAGCTTCTATTGTCTTAGAGAATACATGTACCACCATGTACGGAATGTTCCTGAAATTCAGAAACATTACAAGGTGTTTCTGGTGAGGTCTCAGATGGAAAGGAGAAGCTTTTATTGGACACGGAAGGAAAGGTGATTGATCTGTGTTATAAAGCAGCAGAGAACTTGGCTGTATTATGTTGTGCTGTTGGAAGGAAAGTAGAACTTGTAAGTGATGATGCACTTGGATATTTAGCTGAGGAGAATCCCGAGCAAAGTGTGCAAAGGGCAAGCCTGATGTCTCCTTGTTGCTTGTAATAAAATGTGAGAAGAAAGAGATAAATTGAAGAAGGAACTGCTAAGCAAAAAGGAAGCAGTGTCTGATTTGGAAAATTCTCCAACTGTCCAAATAGAATACTGTAGAAACATCACAAATATGGCTCAATAAGTGTTTGCTAAATAAATGAGGTGTGTGGCTCATGGATCCAATCAGTTATCTCATTGGAAGCCAGGAATAGAGATGTAGTTGTTCAAGAAAGATCTGTGCAGGGCCCTCTTGTCCGATGGCTTAGATCACCATGAATTTCTTGGGAGGCTGACAAGGCTTTTGAGAATTTTATACCAGGAGAAACATTGTCATTCTTGACTAAAAGAGACAATAAAATTAAGAAGAATGACTTAAAGTCTGGAGTGCTGGATGCAGAGGCGAGTCTCAAACTCCTGACCAGTTCAAGATCAGCCTAGCCAACATGGTGAAACCCCATCTCTACTAAAAATACAAAAACTAGCCAGATGTGGTGGCAGGCACCTGTAATCCCAGCTACTTAGGAGGCTGAGACAGGAGAATCACTTGAACCCAGGAGGCACAGGTTGCAGTGAGCCAAGATCACGACACTGCACTCCAGCCTGGGTGATAAGAGTGAAACTCCATCTAAAAAAACAAATAAACAAATAAAAACATTGTAGTCTTTTATGAGAACATCTAAGTTTTTAAACAACCACCATATGGGTGTAAAAGGCCATCAAGCCATAGAGGATTATGCTCAGGTCTTGAAATCTCTTTTTTTCTTTTTTAATTTTAAGTTTTCTTCAGGCTCAGAAGGTATCAGGCCTTGAAATCTAATGGAACTTGCCTTCGTAGGTTTCAAACTTGTTTGGGACCCATGACCCCTTTTGTCTTTCCAATTTCTCCCTTTTGGAATGAAAATGTCTGTCCTATGCCTAGATACTGTATTGTGTAAGCAGATAACTCATTGTCTGACTTCACGGGTTCACAGATGAAGAGGAGTTTGCCCCAGGGTGATTCATACTCTGAGTCTCGCCATTGATGATGTAGATGACAACATTTGGGACGTCGAGTTGATGATACTTAGATGAAATTTTGGACTCGGAGTTGATACTGGAATGGTTAAGACTTTTGGGGACATTTGGAAGGGGTGGATATGTTTTGCATGTGGGAAAGACATGAATTTTGGGGCAAAGGGGAAGACTGTTATGAATTGCTTGTGTCCCCCAGAAAGACACGTTGAAGTCCTAACCCCCAGCATCTCAGAATGTGACTTTATTTGAAAATAGGGTTGCTGTAGATGTAATTAGTTCGGTTCTGGTGAAGTCATGGTGGAGGAGGGTGTGTTCTTAATGCAAGGACTTGGTGTCCTTGTAAGAAAGGGTGTCCTTAAAAGAGACACAGAGACAGACCTGACAGCGAGAAGACAGCCATGTGAAGACCAAGGCAGAGACTGGAATGATGGATCTACACGCCATGGAACACTGAGAATTGCTGGTAAACACCAGAAACTGAAAGATGCAAGGAAGGGCTGTTCCCGATAGGTTTCAGAGGGTACATGGCCCTATTGACAGCGTGAATTCAGACTTCTAGCCTCCAAAACTGTGAGACAATAAACTTACGTTGTTTTAATCCAACCAGTGTTTATGGTACGTCGTTAAAGCCACCCTAGGAAGCCGACACAGATTCTGGTGCACCTAATTTGAATTTTTAATCATTTGCACAAAATGTGGGATTAATGTCACATTAAAAATATTTCATTTAAATCTACTCTGTTCTGATTTTCCATGTATCAATACTTTCATTATTGTTAAATACAAATAGGACAGATGAATCTGTATTTACATGTGGAGTGAAATTTTCCAGTTTGTTTTTGTTATCTTTAGCTAGGTAATAAATGTTAGTTACATCCCATATGGTGGTTGTTTGAAAACTTAGATGTTCACATAAAAGACTACAATGTTATGTATGTATGTATTTATTTATTTTGAGACAGAGTCTTGCTCTGTCACCCAGGCTGGAGTGCAATGGTGTGATCTCGGCTCACTGCAACCTCCGCCTCCCAGGTTCAAGCAATTCTCCTGCCTCAGCCTCCCAAATAGCTGGGATTACAGGTGTATGCCACCACGCCTGGCTAATTTTTGTATTTTTAGTAGAGGCGGGGTTTCATCATGTTGACCAGGCTGGTCTCGAACTCCTGACCTCCCACCTTGACCTCCCAAGGTGCTGGGATTACAGGCATGAGCTACCACGCCTGACCTACAGTGTTATTTTTTAAAGCTAGATGCTATATGAAATGCTGACATGATAAAGCGGTGCTTAACCCTTTTAGATGACCTGCCTTTTTAAGAAAATGGCAATTTTCATATACAAATGTATACATTTTTAAATAGTTTAGTCATTACTCGATTTGTAATTTATTTTATATGGATTTTCCCCTCTGAGATTCAAATATTTGTAACCATTGCTGTCTTTTTTACAGGTCTCTCTTCTTTATCAAGTTATCATATTTGAGAGCAAGTGTAACATGATAGAAATGAATATGTCTCTTGCGCGGGAGGCTGATGCTCCAAGGGAACCTTGGGCAGGATCCATGCTTTCAGCTAACACAGGGTTCATCTACTCTAAGTGCTCAAGCAGCATTTGGAGAAGGAAGAAGGATGACTAGAAGGAAGAAAGTTACTTTTTTTTTTTTTTTGCAGTTGTGGGGAAATTTCACTGATCCACACTTTTATTCAGCCTGCCTGGTCATGAACAGAGCATAATTGCTGCACGGCTGGCCAAACAAACACTTGAGCTGGAAATACCAACCTCTATATATGTTCGACACAGGTTAGTTTTACAGAATTTTCACCTCTACTTCTCAATACAAAACCTGTTTTTCGTAACTAGCATTACCTCCATCCGCAGAAATTTTCAAAGAAAAGATGACTCAGTCTATTCTAGAACCTTTTGTTATTCCTGGCAGTGCTACAATGAAATGGGGTCTAGTGGGATTTATTGTTGGATGTAACTCCTATTGAATCTGAAAGCATAGCATCAAGTGAAAACTGCTGAACAAATGCTAAGCATAGAAACTCTTCTGTTTATGAACTTTTTGGTTTTCAATAGGCTGCCCTGAGTCTGCTTTTTTGTTCTTAATTGAATACAACATGGTACAAAAAATTACTACCCCCGGCCGGGCGCAGTGGCTCACGCCTATAATCCCAGCACTTTGGGAGGCCGAGGCGGGCGGATCACAAGGTCAGGACTTCGAGACCAGCCTGGCCAACACAGCAAAACCCTGTCTCTACTAAAAATTACAAAAATTAGCTGAGCATAGTGGCGCACTCCTGTAGTCCCAGCTACTCAGGAGGCTGAGGCAGGAGAATCACTTGAACCCGGGAGACGGAGGTTGTAGTGAGCTGAGATCGTGCCACTGCACTTCAGCCTGGGAGACACAGTGAGACTCCGTCTAAAAAAAAAAAAGAAAAAAGAAAAAAGGAAAAAAAATTACCTGTGGGTGCTGGGCAGAGCCATAATTTTGTTTCTCATTTGGAGGGATTAAGGACTGCTTGGCTAAGCCCATCCCCAGTTATTGACTCAGTGGGACTTGTTAGGAGGGTGTGAAACCAAAATTTTTTATTTCGAACAAATTCCCAGGTGTTGCCGCGGCTGCTGCTGGTGGTTGTGGACCTCACCTTGAGAACCACTGCGTGCCCCAGCTCTCAGGCTGAAAGTTTGAAAGAGAGTTCTGTAGTCATTTTAGCTGTAATTCCCCCGAGGGTTACACTAGAGGGCAGTGTGATTACAGCTACTGCGATGGAGAGCGGATTGACTTCACGCTGAATGCAAACCGAGGTTTTTTATTTTGTTTACCGATGTTTCATGTAGGCGTTTGTAGGTAGAAAAGGTTCTGCTGCTAAAAACGAGTTAAAAGTTTGCCCTCTCTCTCTCCTGTCTTTTTATTTTATTTACTTATTTTTTTGAGATGGAGTTTCGCTCTTGTTGCCCAGGCTGGAGTGCAATGGCACGATCTTGGCTCACTGCAACTTCTGCCTCCTGGGTTCAAGAGATTCTCTTGCCTCAGTCTCCCGAGTAGCTGGGATTACAGGCATGCACCACCACTCTTGGCTAATTTCATATTTTTGGTAGAGATGGGGTTTCACTATGTTGACCAGGCTGGTCTCGATCTCCTGACCTCAGGTGATCCGCCTGCCTCAACCTCCCTAAGTGCTGGGGTTACAAGCGTGAGCCACCACGTCCAGCCTTTTTATTTTCACATCATATATATTCATTAGCTGGAGAGCTGAGGCTGTTGAGGTGTACAACTTAATTTTC